AGTTCACTTTGAAAACGATGATTTTGAGAGGAAATGGAATCGTTGGAGGCTTTAAAACAATTCAAGAGTATTCAAAACTGAAGGAAATTAACACATCATAGATTTATCTATCTCATAAAACCATTCAAATAACGATATAACTTATAAATTATTATAGAATATTCCACCATAATTCTGACCAGCAACAAAACTACAAAGATTTCACGAGTATAACGACTATTCACAATATTTGCTATGTGAAAACAAGTACTCGAGTCATACTAACCATGTCAGTGGAATTTTTTCCAGAACCAAGTCTTTCATCCACTGGTGTTATTGACCGATTAAGCAAAATCTCCATGCTCTGAAAGCTCAAAAAGATATCCTTGAGAAGTCTTACATGTAAACATAAGTTGGCAAACGTCTTAATGGTAAAATCTCTTGCTACAATACAGTCAAGAAGCAAAATGCAAAATGCAAAACGCATGTCTTCTCATGATGATGTTAGAGAGCAGATATTTTCTGGAAGATGCAAGATGATTGAATCATCACGTAGAACTAGCAAAATGATTTCATTTTTATGAGAAACAGAGAAATTATGTAACTTTCACAATGATTTTATCATCACACAAAACTAAATGCAACGGTTCAGTAGGCAAGTCTCTTCGAAACATGGAGGTATGTGGCAGCATGTGCTTATATTTTTAAATAAGACATTATCTCAGATGTCATTATAGATTACGATGAAGATGTGCAAATTATGTACTTCAATCTTTCTAAAGAGAAGATAGACTCCGTGCAGAACTGCAATTCTTGAAAACCATCAGAGACAGGAAAAGTCATTAAAACTGGCATTTTGCGTACCTTTTTCATATCATATCCACAACTACCTGCAGTAAGAATAAAAGTCCTATTAACTGGTTAGAGTTCGCATATCGTAATCAATAGTAAGCATTTCAATAAGAAGCCAATACCCATACTTCATAATAATACTAGTCAACTACAAACAACACAATAAATATACGATTCTATTGCAATAGATAGCAATTTTTATACTATTATTATTTATTTTAAACTCTCTTCTAAGGCTTATATATACTGAAATAATTTTCTTTTCTCAAATCAAGTTGCCTTCAACAACTTTCCTTCGTTAGGCTGGCTGTGCAAATACTGAAAGCACGGCATGGCTGCCCTTGGTTCATGGATTTTCTATTGAAGATGCTAACTAACGAAGTTCCCAAGTCTTCACAGTGCTTAAAGTTGAGATGACACAAGAAAACAAGTGTGACTTAAAACTACCAAAGTAGAGAGTTAAGAAATATTTCATCGACACCATTTCAATATCCCTTACGGTTCAAAAGGCCAAAAGTTAATTTATACTTGGGACAAATATATGACAGATAAATTATATTAGTCATGGTAAAGTTCTGACCCGCAAACTTCTAACGTGATTCTAAAGACACCGATTGATTCTAAAAGTCTTCACACACAAGTAAACTTTCATGATCATTGAGCACATAATACGAGCAAGGTTAACCAATTTTGCACAGGCAATAAAAAAATTTTAGTCTACTAGATCAATCGTAATAGGACAGTTTCTTCAAGACAAACAAAAGATATCTAGTTACTTTCCAATGAGTTGATACTTAAAAGGTACAATTGTAGATTACTGGAAAAGATAAAGATAACAGCCTACCAAGAACTTCTCGAATCACTTCCCTTTTCAACTTGAACCCGTCACCAAGCATTTTGAAGAGAAAATCTTCCATATCATGATGCAGGTGGAAATCACTAGGTATGCCTGTACAGTTTCCTTCCCTTGGAGATTCATGCAAGGCCTTTACCCCCACCTTTACCGGTTTGTATACCTTGGTAATATTATTTGCTGATGGCTTGGAACGAGCATACTCTTTACCAATAACGTTAGAAACTGTGCCTGCTGAAAAAGGCTGGACCTTTGACTTTCCTGTTTTCTGGTTCCCTTTGACCTGATACGACTTCTCAAACACTTTATACTGACCCAAATTATCTCCATTTCCTAACTCACCGTTGGATGCGGAGCTAGAGGTGCTTCCCTGCATTTGGAACAGGATTTCACACGCCAAGTTTGCGTTATAGCCTGCCTTCAAATAGGCAGAAGCTATCTCATTAAGTGAAAATGCAGAACCAAAGGCATCAAACAAAGACTTCAGCATGGTGTCCTCCTCCACACATTTTGATCCATTCACTCCACATGTTTCCTTCCCTGTCATTCTTTTCAAAACATAGAAAATAGAAAGGAAAGACCAAATACATTTCTACATTAGCCAACTTGTCTTAATAATTAGAACTCAAAAGGTCAAATTATTTCCATTAACCAAGGAAATGCGTTTCAATAACATCATAATGATAGCAATGTGTAAAACGAATCATAATAATAATAACGGCATGTCCCAAATAAAGGATTAAATGGTAAAGGTTAAGGGACATCGTAGATCCATAGATTAAACCAGTGATAAAACTGCCAGAAACAGAGAAAATGAGACAGTAGAAACTATTGGATGATTCAAATTTATATGAATTGTCATTCTTTGTTGTACATGTAAGATCTTTTAGTTTTCTACGTCATTAGACTCAAAGTTGACCCTGCACTACTCAAAACCAAATGGGTGGCGAATTTGCTATGACTCAAAGAATGGATGTTCATTATATCGATCCGCCTACATTCTTAAAAGTCGGAGCATCTCATTATTGAAGATTGTTGGGAGAGGAGTCCCACATCCACTAATTAAGGGGTTGATCATGGGTTTATAAGTAAGGAATATTATCTACACCGACATGAGACCTTTCTGGAAACCAAAATCAAAGCTTACTCAAAGTGGATAATATAATACTATCGTGGAGTTTCGTGGTTCCTAACACTCCTGAGAAGAAATTACTAGTTCATCTACATATATCCAGAAATTATGGGGATGACAAGACTCGATCTCACTCTTCCATCTCTCTTACATACACTTACTGATGTTATGAAGAAGACCGTGCAAGCTCACGCATAAATCAAAACCAAATAAAGAATCGGAAGAATCTAAAAGAAACGAAAAGGAAAGCTACTCAGAACCAACAGAATCAAAATGTCGAAGAAAATACTGATTTCCGGTCAAAATGCAGAAGTTAAAGAGGCCAGAATCAAACATGAACAAAATTCCACCAGGGAAAAACTCAATGAAATCAAAAACAGAAAACGGATCATTCGACCCACAGCTCTATATCGATAAACATAAAGAAAAATAAAATCTTCGAAAAGAACTGACATAGATTAGGAGTTGGGTGAAGCAATGTCTCCGGCAAAGGCAATGAGAACTGGAACACTACTGAGTACCGAGTGGCTCGAATAAACATTAAACAAAATGATTGGAACAAAAGGATAATCGAATTGATTTTCAGCGCCTCGATGGGCTCCCTTCAGGGAGAAGTTTTCATTTGATTCTTCCACGCGCGGCGCGTCCGTATTCCTACTCTTTTGGGCATTAAAATAAATTGTTTTTTATTTCAATTAATAATGGTTTAAATAAAATTTTAATTTCCTTTCCTAAATGGTCATGATTAAACCGTTTTCCTTTTTCAATGACGGTGACCTTATTTATGTCAAAAAAATCATTTCAGTAAACTATATGCCATTTTTTTAATAGTAAAAAAATATTGAAATATAATGGTTTTTGTTTCGCATGTTTTTAGAAAAATAAAATCCAAATTTTTAAAATCATGTTTGAAACTAATATGTTGTAATTATAAAATAAACCACTCATAAAAATAATACAAAATTTTGAAAATCAATTAAAAAGACAAATAACAAAATCCTAAGCCTAAAAAATAGGGATGTCGGATTTTACTGATCAAATTAAACACCGTAATTGTAGTAAATTTTATTACTAATTTTTAACTAAAATTGTTTTTTTTTAAATCAATTTTAGAGAAACATTTGCCTTTCTCTATATTTAAAAAAAGATAAAATGATCTTTTATAGTTTAATATAGGTTAAATTAGAAACAAATATTCTTAAATAATTGACACAGTTATTGTAAAAAACTACTATTATCTCCCAAAGTTGCAACAATTAATAAATTATTCAAATATAGATCTTCAAATTAATTTTTATGATTTAATAAAATCTTATAAATAATCTATTATGATCTAATGGAATCTTCATGTTATATGAATTGATTTTAACATTTAATATATAAAGTAGTGGTTGATTATTTTATAATATTGTGTTGATCGATCATTGATATTAAATAGATGACTAATGTATAAATGTTGATATCAATATTGTTCCTTCAATAAATAAATAAAAAGTATTAGCATATTGTGTAGCATTTGAATAAGTGCACACTTTTAAATTTTTTATTTCATTAATTCAGCCTCTCGTATTTTGTTAACTATTGCTAATAGCTATTTGTATTATCTAAGTGTTACACATTGCATGGGCTAATTGTAATATTTAACAAATTATATTAGCATATTATACCATTAAACTAAATACAGAAGAATAATCGAAATACTTAACACAGTTAAAAGACACGATTACAACAATTAATAAAGTTAATGGACTAATTAATCAAATAAAAGTGGGACAATTTCATGCTTCTATTTAGTGTGATTTTTAATTGATGGATTTTATTCAAAATTTTGCTTGTTTTCTTTAGCATTGACCTGTGTTAGACGAACACAACTCTGGACAATGGTATGATATTGTCCACTTTGAGCATAAGCTCTCATGGTTTTGCTTTGGGCTTCCCAAAAGGCCTCATATCATTGGAGAGTGTATTCTTACATTATAAACCCATGACCATTCCCTAAATTAACCGATGTGGGACTTTCATCATCCAACAACCTGAACTTTTAGTACAACATTTAATATTAATTTTTGTTGTATTGTAAGACATTTAGGTTTAAATTGTCGTGTAAGATGAATGTAAGGAAAAATATAAGATCAAAATAGTGAAAAATAAATTTCGGACAACGCGAGATCTTGAGACAATTCAACCATTATCAAGCGATCAAAAGATCTGGTCCACCATTCCACCATGCTCCTCAGCTGCAGCTTCATCTATTTTTGCCCCCTCCTTAACCTCACGAACAGGGAAGAGGAAAACAATCGGCAGGGAGGGGGGAGATTTGAACTTTTGAGGAAGCTGTGTGTTATACGATGATACCGCAACAATGGTCGTCTCCTTGTGGAAACCAATGCACGCAGAAATACGCAGCCCTCACCAAGATTCCTTGTACGACCTTCTTCATCTACCATTTCTACAGCATCTTCTCTCTTCGCCCTTCCTACAATTGCTAATATATTTTTGGCAAATGTTCGGTTTCTTGTTTTAATTTTGTTAGCCATGTACTAAAATGGTTTCGATTTGCTTTGTTAGCTGTGAAACCTTCTTAATGTTTAGCTGGAAACTCACGTCGATGTACATCCGTGTTCTATTACTCGTCGATTGCAAAACATTACGGTGAATCGTTGAATTCCCTGCGTCTGATTGGTTCATTAGTTGTTTTATTAGACATGATTTTTCCTGGAAATAGTACTTTGATGAAACTGTTGACGGGAAATGCCCCCATTTGTTCAAGTAAACGATTGCCGAAGGATATACTTTAATCCCATGTTTCGTATCGGAAATTTGAGATTGTATGAATTGTATTTATGATATGGATTTTGGGCGTCCGGTCAGGATGCTAATCTATTTGACTTTGGCAGCGAGTAGTGTTTACTTACGAACGAAGATGGTTAGTTTCTTGTGGGATCCTTTGGAATCTGATACTAAGATGACGTCGTTATAATAGCTGACAGGGAGATTATAACATTAGTTTTGTTTATGTCTGAATTTGGGTAGTCTGATAATACTCGTTGTGCATATTCTCAATGGTTTGAATGTAGGGCGGGTATTTTGCAAAAAGGGGTGTGATGCTGATGGAGATGCTTGGGAAGAATGTAAGTGATATTCTTTCCTTCTTTCTCCTTTCTCTTCTTTCATGTCTTCAGTTCACTATAAGTATCTTTTAGATGTGATTTTCATGGTTTTTGTGAGATCCCACATCGGTTGGAGAGGGGAATGAAGCATTTCTTCTAAGGGCGTGGAAACCTCTCTCTAGTATATGTGTCTTAAAACCGTGAAGCGGATGGCGATACGTTACGGGCCAAAACGGACAACCTGTGCTAGCGGTGGGCTTGAGCCAACCAATGGTATCAAAGCCAAATACTGGGTGTTGTGCCAGCGAGGACGCTGGGCCCCAAGAGGGTTGGATTTTGAGATCTCATATTGGTTGGAGAGGGGAACGAAATATTCCTTATAAGGGTATGAAAACCTCTCCATAGCAGACACGTTTTAACTGTGAGGCTGACGGCGATGCGTAATAGGCTAAAACGGACAATACCTGCTAGCGGTGGGCTTGGGCTGTTACAGTTTTTTACTTGCAAGTTAGAACATACAATCTGAGATTTTCATGGTCATGTTCTAGTTTCTACTAGTGACTTGTCATTATATCCGAATGCTCTGTTGGTTAGCTTCCTTAGATGTGAATTCTAGGCACTGTGTTTAGCAATGTTGAATCTGCCTACAGCTTTCTTTAGTTAATTTCAGCAACACGTATGTATAGACAGAAAGTTATTTGTCCAGACAGTATTTTTTCTGCTTCCATTTTGATTTTCCAATGCATTGAAACAATGGACAGAAGTGTCGAATGTCTCTCCAAACCCTCAAGCTAATAGCATGCTGGTTTTTGTCTGGTTTTTCTGTTTTGTTGGTCTTTGCAAGACTTATATCTGGTCGTGGAGTTTAATCATGACCTTGATATATAAATTGTAACTTTTAATATTAGTTGTTGATGTTGTTGAATCTTAAGGCTTGGAGGAATGCACTGAGATATGCTATAAGGATCCTGTATTTAAGGACCACCAATGGAGTGCTTACATTGACCGATCTCCTGGGTCTGCCAGTTACTCAGAGGTACTTAATCAACATGGTGTTATTTTCCAGAATTTCATAGACTCTGATGATTTCGACGTCTATCAAGTTTAGACTAATCACGTGCAATGTTTAACTACCCGTCTCCCACCCTTCTCCGACATTTGTGAACTTGGAAGATATTAAGTTAATTCATATTTGTTTTAGCCAATGTGTTCGTTTTACTTTCTCTTCGATCTGACTCTTTGCTGCTCACAGGAATGTTTTCATGCATGCGCATCTGGTTGCGGCTTTAAGGTTTGTCTGCTCTTATTAGTATTAAGCTTCTGATAACTTTTACACGCATCCAGCCAAAAGTAGTTGTGTGAAGCCCAAGTTGGATTTTTTTTTTTTAAAATTTCAGTTCAAGAATCCTTTGGTATCATGTATCAAATTGTCGTAGGGATGAAGAACTCTCAACAATTTCTAATGTTCATGATGTAGTTTTAGTTGACTTGATGCCATTTCCTTTCATGATCAGTTTGATGTCGATTCTGGGACAGCTGACAAAATTCAAGCAAACAGGCCTGTGAAACCCGTGCCTATTGTTTCGAAACCAGCGCCACGACCTCCAATCACTGAACCTGTTGCCAAAAATGAAGATTTACCAAGCACTTCTGCATAGCAACACAAAATGCAGATTAATGAGGAAGCATGCCTCAAGAAAATTATAGTCAGTCAGCTAGGTTCTAGTTTTCTTGTAACCTCTTAACGTTCTCTGAAATTGATCTAACCAGCAATCTCAATTCGAATGCAGGCTTACGTCTACTGCTGCTATCTTCTCCAACGCACGAGCTTCATTATTCTGTTGGGTTATATATTACGACACTCGCTGGATCGTGCAATCCTTCCTTGTGTGAAAGAACTTGGGTTCCTGACATAGATGTGTCCCGTATGCTGAGTTGCTGATTTCTATGTTGTACTGTCCATTGCTCTGGCTTCAAAAGTCAGCGATTTTGTGAAATGATATTACATTATAGGGATTCTTACAGCAGCTTGAGTTACTTCTTTGCATTTACACTGAGCTCGTAAAAGTATATTCAGGTTTGTAGGAAGAAAGAATATTATGCCAATGACGAGGGAATAAAATTACATTAAATAAAATTCCATCGTTCTTTGGAATTATATGAAGAAAACGCAGTCATAAGATTGCATGATTCCCGAGGGGGGAAGCCCATGGAGTAAGCCTTCAAACATGTCAAACCTCTAGCCACAACCTATTTCAGTACAAAATCATGTCCCTCAGCCATAGCAATAGTTAAAAATCTTCAAAATCTCTGAATCCTTGGCTTGCCATGCAGTGGGCTGGCCTATCCTTATGCGGTCCGCTACTCTGCAAATTTTATCGGAAGCTGATAGCGTTTAACAGCTGGAGGGTGTGCCCGTTAACCATCCTGCCTTTCGAGTTCTGAAACCCAAGCCAGTGACCGTCCCCTTTGCCATGTCTTACAATCCACCGAACTTCAATGGATTCCACCCAGTTCTACTTCTACAAATACTAGTACTTGAGTGCTGTGCGGCCGGAACAAAAATAAGATACACCACTTCACAACCTCCAAAAGCTACCGCGGACCTTTTGGGCTTTTGTGATGGCCCAAGTTGTCGATGGAGCCCAATATAGCCTAGCAGCCCGCTTCATTTTAAAATCCAATCTCAAGGCATTTCCCTGAAATTTCCTGAAAAAGAAAAGGAAAAGGTAAAAAAAAAAGATCAATATATGTATTGTTGCTGCCCAGGATCGAACTGGGGACCTTTAGTGTGTAAGACTAACGTGATAACCACTACACCACAGCAACCTGATGTCTGAAAATGTAAAGGGGCATAAATTAGTCTTAAAAACTAGATGAATTTGAAAAAGAGGAAAAGAGAAGGAAACGGAATTGGCTTTATCATGCACTTTGAGTTTGTCCCACATCGACACAACTGAAAAGAAGAGAAGAATCCACCAGCTATAAAAGAAAATCAACGAGCATCTTTCAAACATACTTACCTGGACGGGGCTTTTGGGTGATCATCGAGGTCCATAGCCTAGGTTGGTGACCTCCATTGCACTTAGGTGGGGTGCCCGCCTAAGGTCTGTCTAAAGTGGCAGAGCCTACGTCATAATTTGTGGTAGTGGGGGCCTGCGTTCGCGCGGCCCCTTCCCATAACAGTTAAATATTGAATATTCAACTAGAGATATTTTTTATTTCTTTTTAATCAAAATTTAAATATTTTTCGATTACAATCTCTCATTGTTACCCATCAGAATAATCGCTTCTTTGCTTACTCAACTGGTCCTTTCATAGCCAACCCCACAGTCTTCACGCAATTTACAGTTCTGATGGTCCTTTCATAGACTGTGGAGTGGTAGCTTGCCGAACCAATTTACAGTTCCCCCATGGTGGTTTTCACTTGGGCGGAACTGACTAACTATGGCGCATATGAACGTTCAACATGCTGTTGGTTCTTCTTTGGCAGAAAGTGCATATCTGCTGTTCAATGAAATTGCTGTTAAAAGACGTGGTTGATTGGATTGTCCTTATAGTTGGGTATGTCCAGATAGGGTTGGTTAAGTTACAATTTTGATTTTGAGAATCCTATACTCGGTACTCTTTTTTTTTTGTTAAAAAAAAGAAAAGATAATTAAGATTTTACTGTACTATTTGGGAAAGTTGGATACTGAAGTATTATTTTAGTAAAAATAAAATTTTATATCTTTGCGTGAAGGGAGTCATGGTGCTCCATGTAAGACGATTGACCAGACCATAGTACGAATACGTCTGCTGGTAGATGTTGAAGATATAATGTTCTGAAATGAAGTGACCAGCCATTAGATGCATACCTTCCTCCAACAAATGTGGAAAGGATCAAATCAGCAAAAGACTTCCAGCCCCCCATGGCAAACCATCTATCTATCCATATCAAGTGCTGTCGGGATGGGTGAAGGTTACTGACTCCCAGAAGTCTGGAGGCTTTGGTTTGAGGAACAGAGGCCGAAGAGCATAGAGGAAGAGTTTGAAAATGACCCAAATGACTTATATCAATACTATCAACTCTTCGGAAGCGACTGTTCGAGACGATATTTTTGACATGGACATAGCAATGGGAAGATTGACAAATATCCCAAGCCAACTGTTATAGGCAGAATTTGAGAAGGCAAAGTTTCAAAGGGGAATGTGATTATCATATAAAATTCAAATAGAAAAAACCCATTTACTGTGATGATGTTAGAGAAAAGTGGTTGAATGTTCATCACCATCATCATCACACTCATAACCCATCAATTTCCTGCTATCATCACATGACTTGTTTTCTGCTATTAATGATTTGGTAAGGAAATCATTAGAAATCTCGAGAGATCTTTTCCCCAACTTGCAAAGAAAAATAAAGCATTCAAAGCTGCTTTGATAGATAACATCAAGAATGTACAAACATATACAAATGTGCTAAATACAAATTTTATGGAAGACTTCAAATCAAACTATATCAACTTCGCCACCCAACACACCAGTCCTACAATAACTCAAGACTGGTTTTTTCCCCTTCAGAAATGGAGGTGGGAAGAAACAGTTGGCTAGTCTTCTCTAGCTTTTACTATTTTTTAGCCGAATGCATTTTAGTGCTTTTGTCATGACCTCTCATGCCAAAAGGACTATTCATTTGGAGAAAAACTACCTAAAAGAGTGACATTAGATTACGTATGTACCAATCACTTATCTTAGATGAGTATCGTAGGTGTCGAAGAGGGAGTCTGGAACAATCAAAGGCAGTTTGTCTATGTACTTGAAAAGCCTTTGCAGATTCTCTCGAGTCACTGTCGCCATGTCCACAATGTCCCTGTTATCAGTAAATACCCAGAGATCGCCAGAATTTACTCTCTTAAGACTGTCACGACAGAATGGGCACGACTGGGAACGTGTTTGCCTGAAGTACATTCAATAGAACAATAAAACTATTAGAAGTTGATATAAGGTAGAAAGTAGAAAATAGATTCAATTCAAGAGGTAGTCCAGAAAGAGCTGACTGCTGAGTCTATAATTCATCAGAAGATGCATTAATTGGAAGAGATATGCCAAATGATACTCCACATGCAAGACAATCAAATCGGAGATATGCCAAATCGGATGAGGGTATCAAACAATTAATTGTCTTGATCTTAAAGCGCTTAAGATGAAGTATCATGAGGCATCTATCCAATTAACTAAAGATGAACAGAAGGCTTAATGTGTACAGGAAAATTTTGTTCCGAGAATCTGTAGATAGCCTTAAGAACCCATAATTAATCCCTCTTAGTGAAATAAGTTAAAGAGAAAACTGAAAATGAAGAACAAAAGAGATGAGAGTACCATTCACGGTAACATTTCAAGCACAAGGCATGGTTGCAGTTGGGCAATACAACCTTGCTAGTAGTCTCCATGCATATTCCGCATTCTTCTTCTCGTTCAATGTCAATATCTGAAGACCATATAAGTTCGTCGTCATCTCTTCTTCGATACCTTTCCATGCAGACAGCCTTCTGCTTTTTATCTTCGGTATCAGTAACACCTCTCTGAAGTTGCAATAGAGAGGGGTAAATAACAGCTGATCATAGGACAGTTACAGAAGTCAGCAGTCACAATATACATATATATCAAACAATCATCTGATGGAAAATGCGAAACTCAGACACTACCATAGAATTCCCTGATGCTTGCTTTTCTCTCGTTAGTGGACATGGTGGTCGTACCATCCACATAGACCTGCAGCACAAGATACGTGGAGAATTAAGCAATGTTAACACGTTAAAATGGATTTTAGGGATGATTACAAAATATAATGCTATGAGGCAACAAACTTAACCTTGTAAATTAAAATTCTCAGCAGTCCAAGGGCTCCTGCAAGATGGCAGTCTGTCCATTGCACTAGGAAGAGGAACAAGTGAGCAGCAGGACTATATGATATTCTCATCTGAAGACAGGGGCCATCATATTCCCCGGGAAACTCTGATGCCCTGCAACTCAGGAATAATTAAACATTAAGTTGAGATATCTGACAAAACCAGCAATCTTGAGAATCTCCAAGCATTGCAAGAAATCACAAGCATTCAAACATTTCAGCTTTTAATTCATCTGTCAATTTTCATAGCCTGGGACAGAGCATGATTCATAATTTAAAAACTATGACATATTGGATATTTTCATCTTTCCTAGACAAGATCATACTTCTCACAACTTCAAATTAAAAAAGAACAAAAAAAACTAAGAAATTGTTGTTTCTAAGTAATTTTTTATTTAATTTTAAGGGAAGTATGTCTTTTTCATTCATTATTAGGAAATAGGAAGGAGGAGTTATCACACGGCAAAATGTAAATGCAGCTTCTGGAATAAGTGAAAAAATGTTACAGAAAAGCACTTGAATCTCGAGAGATAGAAACGATATTAAATGGGTTACAAACTAGTCTCTCAAAGAAACTACTATACAATTCAAGTTTTGTTATACATAAGGGATCACTACAACTAGGTGGCATCCCTTAAATTATACAAAACAGAGCGAAGGGTTTTGGGCAATGAAGGCAAGATTTAAAAACAAAAGCACGAAAAAGAATGAAAAAGCAGAAAAATCGGTAGAAGAAAATAGCAAACTTGTAAAAATAGAATGAGACGGCACGATATTGATACTGCAAAAACAGGCATTCCACAAAGAGAACCAAAACAATGATACATTCAACTTGTAGGTGACAGATACACAAAGAATCGGCTTCCCGAGTTCAAGAATATGTCGATCATTATTCATAATCTGTACAACAAGACCACAGTGAGATGCAGAGAGCATAGAGAAGGTCCTAAAACACATCACCAATAAACCAAAGAACAATTCATGAAAATGATGACAAAAAACTCAATGTGGGGAACCATTGACAAATCATCTAACGACAAATGAGCAAACTATTTACCCTTCAAGAAACTGAGCCATAAAACAGAGAGAAACGAAACTTGTCTTTACCAAGATATAAACCATCGTTGACAAATATAATTACTCAAAAACAGCAACTTCAAG